ATAGAATAGAATAGAATAGAATAGAATAGAATAGAATAGAATAGAATTCTTTATTGGCCAAGTGTGATTGGACACACAAGGAATTTGTCTTGGTGCAAACGCTCACAGTGTACATAAAAGAAAAGATACATTTTTCAAGAGTCAAGAATCATCAGGTACAACGCTTAATAATAGTCATAGGGTACAATAAGCAATTGAATCATACTAGGAAACAGTAAATATAAATCATAAGGATACAAGTGACAAAGTTACAGTCATACAGTCACAAGTGGGAGGGGAGGGGTGATAAGGAGTCATGAGTGATGATTATGACTCTAATGTGATTTATTTGTTATAAATCTACACTAGCTCCCATTAATTCTGTCTTTAGAATGCCTGTCTAAATGCTCCTATACAGTACATGCTGTGATATCAATGTCCTTTTTGAGCTACAGGCTCCACAAAAATATACAGTGTCTCAAGAGTAATCACACTCTATATTTATATAAGCATCACTGAACTAGCAGTTTTATTTACGTTTTCTTTTCTTTTCTAACTCCAAGTGTGAGATTTGGCTTTGCTGTTGCAGAGTAGCCTGACATTTTCATTGATCTGTTAATCGAGGATTTAATATCCATTTTCTGAGTTTACTATCAGCTCTGGATTATGCATATGCGAAATCTGAGGTTTACAGACAAGCATGCATCACTTTACATTTGCTTGCATTAAATTACCATCACTGGACTTTTGCAACTCATCTTTTATTTTATTGATCTGAACAATTTGATAGCATCAGAAAACCTGGCCACATTGCTCCTCACTTCTAAATCTAAATCTAAATCATTTTAATACTCTGATGGGCAAACCTTCTGCTGCAAGTAAAAATACGTGTCAGAGCTGGACCTTTTTCCATTAAAGGAACTTGTGAACATGCAGGATTATTCTGGTTTTGGAGCTACTGATGATGACATTTACTGACTTACCAGGAATGCTTTCTATCAACTTTGGCTGATTCATGAGCCATAACTACAAACCCTTTGTAAAACAAGGTGATTTTGTCACAAATGTTCATATTTATATGAGATTGTCAGGCCCCTAATATCAGCTACATAGATTATCCCAATATTGAATCTATTAAACAAATGGGTACAACAAAATAGCTTTTATAAAATGGGTACAACAAAATAGCTTTTATAGAGTTGCTTCTATTATTGTGAACTCTCTCTTGCAGAATGTGTATTTTACCTCTTCTTTTTTAAATGATAACAATAATAATAATGGGCAATAACAATCTTAATTGCTGTTGCTTTGATTCATGTTCCAGTGTTGGATATTTTTATTAAGGGACAGAAGACACATAAAAGTAAATTGAATGAAGTGACAGTGAATTACTTAAATGGTATCTGCATGGCAAAACAAGAAGAGATAGGATCAAGGCTCAGCTGGTTGTGAATAAATAGGATTTGAATATGGACTGAATAGAAGAATGAGTGGTCAATATGCTGCCTGAAGACATGAATGTAGACATGTATTTTTGTGTGTGCACTGTGCCCTATTGTTGACCAAGAATCCTTTAGATTTTCCCCCCTAAAATAGTTAAAAATTTGTACATCTAAATGAAGAGATCAAATAATTACTTCTTCCCTTTGTTTCAGGAGACTGACTTAGGTTTTGATGATCCTTTATCTCCACATTATGTTACTGAACAGCAAATGCTGTTTTTTCACCACGGGCCACCAGATACCATACCAACATTCTCCAGCTTACACACTGGAAAACGCATAGATTATAAGTAAATACCAATAGCATATAAATTATTCTGTTTTTTAAAAAAATACACCAGTATTATGAATTTTAAAACTTTGTCTGTTTCCTAAGAAAAATAAATAGCACTCATTCTTAAAATACAGATTTAAGGGACGAAACATGTAATATACCTGGCACAAATAATTTCAAAATGAAATCACATTTGTCAGCATCTGAAATAAATTATTCCAGTAATGCAGAATTGAGATTAGACAAGACACCTTTAACATTTATTTTTGATTAGAATATAGAGACCTGATTTGTACATTATGGTAAAATATAATATGATTTATTTGGTTTTGATTCAGCATGTTATATGAACCCAGCCACTGTGGTTTGAGAACCATACATAGTTGGAAGATTAGCACAAGAGCAGCTATTTTTTAAAGGCTACTAAAGGTCTAGAATGGACAGGGCTGACATACTTGAAGCCAGGAAGGACTTGTCTTCTCTTATTTTAAAAGGAAGACAATGAAATACTGTGTCACTTGAAATGCTAAAGTGTCATTAGATTTCAGAGGCGTGATCCTGAGAGGCTTTTGAATCTCAAAATGTGGAACAAAGGCCTTGTGTGTAACACAAAAATCATAGATTTCACATCCCTTAATGCAGTGGTGGGATTCAAGTATTTTTACTACCGGTTCTGTGGGCGTGGCAGGGGAAGGACACTGTAAAATCTTCAGTCAGAGGTGGTATTTGCCAGTTTTCCAAATTACTCAAAATTTCCGCTCCCGGTTCTCCAGAACTGGTCAGAACCTGCTGAATACCACCTCTGCCTTAATGCTAGGTGCAAATACCTGTGGCTTTAAAAAAATTATTAAAATAAATCTAATCCAGAACCCAGTTTGGGATATTTTATTTTAGTATTTTACATTGCCACTACTGTTGGGTCTTGGTAACTGTTTAACAGAAATATGCATTTACTGAAACACTTGGGGGGTATACGTCAACAAACATCGTTTGGGTTTTAGCCTTGCTGGATTTGTGATTTTAGGGTTTGTTCCCTCTTCTTTTGTTTATAGTTTTAGGGACCAACAGTATTTTTTGTCTGTGAGAAAATTTTCTAGTGTGGGAGTTGAAAAAATATGAAAACTAAACTTTGGACAGATAAGATGTTGGAATACTTCAAAATAACTGGGAACTGGGGATTTTCTAACAACTACAGAAAGTATTCCAATAGAAGTAAATTAATTATTTCTATTGCCATCACATAACCAATATAAGCCTTTGGCATTCATTGAAAATGCCAAGAAAGATAATAATTTCTGTAAATACTAAAAAATGGAAGCCATAACTAGTCAGGGAAAATGATTGCTTATCTAAGACCTTTATGTCAGAGTCCTTTTTTGGTAGCTTTTGTGGTAAATAAAAGTCTGTTGAATCTGTCTGTTGAAGTCTGCAAATACAATGTCTACAGCAGGGGTGTCCAACCTTGGCAACTTTAAGACTTGTGGACTTAAACTCCCAGAGTTCCTAGCTGGCTGAGGAATTCTGGGAGTTGAAGTCCACAAGTCTTAAAATTGCCAAGGTTGGACACCCCTGGTCTACAGTCTTCCAGGAATGATCAGATGTGGTTGATATTCTTTGGAGGCTGGAAGATTTAAAGCAAACCATGACATAGTTCCTTTCAAAGTTCTACCTACATCATATTATTATGCCAGTGTTGGTGAAATAAAAATATATAATTGTTACTGTTAAAAAAAAGTTCTACCTACCTACCTCTAATAGCCAAGATTCAGAATTCTAAAATATAATCCCATCAATTCTTAAAACTTACTGATAAAATGTTACCTTGTGACATGTCAATGACAAATAATTTCAAACTTATCTTCTCTTCTTCAAGCTTTGTCCTTTATCTTATGCACAGTAGTAGAATTCAGGAGGAAAAAGAAGCCCAAACAAATCCTATGAAGGTATAGCAGCAGTGAAAAGTATGGAGATGCCCTTAAACTTGACATCCTGCTGAACTCCACTAAACCCCAATGAACAGAGAACAAATTTATTTATCATGGAGCTTGTTCCAGAGGTTTTTAATCTGCATATTAAAGATCAAGCATTTCCTCTTATAATATGCAGAATCAAGGATTAGTTATTTTCCCCAACTGGGAATCCCTTAGAAGGCAGGTTTTAGCACATACTACCCCAAAGCAGAAAACAGGACCAAACCTAGAGGACTTCGGAGAGAAGAATGCCATATGGCAACCTATAATTGTGGTATATATAAAATGCAATTGGACAAAACTATCAAGATAATAATATTTACTTTTTTTTAAGGCCAGGAGGATCAGGTATAATTTACTCAGTCTTCTCACATTCGAATCCTGAAGGAACTGTAACATCTATCTTGGTAGATGTTCTGGAACATTTTCCTGTTGAATCTGTAACTGACAGCCCTTGTACAGCAAATACTTTAACCATTCTACCACCTTTCAATTCTACCTCTATTTCATATCAACTTAAACTTACTACTGCAGGTATGTTGATCGTT